TCCTAATCTAAGGACCATATGTCCCAACTCACCTTTTAAAAGGAAAGAAACAACTAATAAGATTTTGATTTTAGGTCTAAGATTTATCGAACCAATCTTTTTGTCGTATATCTACGATTTTAGATTAGACGGATAAAGATGATTCTTTTCGATACTATAATTAAAATTTCTTTTTAGGAAAATGCATTTAATATCTAAATTGAACCGTTCTTTAATATCTGAAACTAAATAAATGAATTCATGGATAGGAAAATGCAACACCCATGGGCCATTGTGTATGCTTTTACTGAACTATTGGGTCAAGTACGATAGAGACATGTGTCTGATTGGGCCATATCGGATAAAATTGAGCCTAACGCCCTAACCTAAAGTGGCCCTTACCATACAAGTAGGACGGGACCAAACCAACCTTGAAATGGTCTTTATTACCTATTGGCCTATCCCTTACGACACCTCGTTTCGGGAAACCACGTCCAATGAATTTATTTCTCTCTTATCTCTTTTTCCTTCATATTGCCTACATGCTCTTGCCTTTCTAGGATTTGTTACATCAAATTGATACATCAATTATATATCACATTTTTTATAAAAGAAAATCTAAATTTAAAGTGGAAATCCAATCTTTTTCTATTTCATGCTTGTTCCTTTTTTTAAAAATAATATGAAATTAGTATTTATTAATTAATATTCAATTAAAGTTTTATTGTTTGAGTAGGAAAAAACTGATTGTTGGAGTTGTAATGTTAAAAATTGCCTAAATTAAATTTATTTATCTAATGTTCATGATTGGATTTTCTTATTCCAAAACTGCCCAATTTAATATTCTAATACTGAAACTACGTAAGTTTTTCTTACATTTATTATTCACGACTACATACATATACATAAATAAATATTTACCAGGCCTTACTAAAAATCAAGCCCATCTCGAAGCCTAGAACTTAAATCATTTTCCATTTTCCCATTAGGCCTGCAAGGCATTAAGGCCCTTTGAGCTTGCCTTAAATAATTGCCAGACGAGTCCAAAAGTGCTGACATTGTGGTCTACAATCCCATTAACCAAGGTGTGCTCCACTAAGTGCACCATTATTTCAATACGTGATAGTGCGCGACGCATTTAAAACCGTTGGATTTTACGACTCCAAATATCGGTATTTGATTAAGTAGGTTGTATATCAAAATGGGGAAAATTACAAATTAAGGATATACACCAACAATAATAACTACTTGCCACTATAAGATTTAGTATTTATTATTACAACAACAATAATAAAACATATCAATTAAAATAATATTTTATTATTTAATAATAAAATAATAATTAAATGACGAGTCCTATCGAATTCAAGCTTAACAAAGAAAGCCTGATAAGCCTTGCTTGAACTACAAACACCTCTTGAAATGTAAGTGAATTAAACTTGCGTTTTGATACATAAATAATTCTGAAAACTAACATCACTTATAAATTAACTGTTGTAATGTTATTTTTTTAATATTTTAATTTATATTTTCTCATTTATAACAAATGTTATAATCTTATCTTCAAAGGCAGAGGGAGAGGGATTAGTAAGTCGCTGCCCCTTTCAAATTTTAAAATTTTAAAATTTTCCTTTATTAATTTTTAAATTTTATAGTTTTGTTGCTTATTTAAAAAAAATTATAATTTTGAATCTATAAACATTGAGTTTCTTATTTTTACCACTCAAACATAAAATATTAATTCTATCATTGATTATTTTCTCGACAATTTAATATTTAACAATCACTTTCTCAACAAATTATATTCCATTGAAATCATGAACTGATAAAACACCAAACTCCACCATAAATTTCTCTCTTTCACTTTCTCTCTTCTAATACAAAAATGTGGCATATGCATAAATATGATTCTAATAATTATCAAAATCCTCATGCATAAGTGGCAACCAGGTCGATCAAGTCAATTCCAGATCAAGTCATCTCCAGTCATGAATGTTATCATGTCAGATATGTGGGTCAAGTTAATTTAGACTGAGGTTTTTCAATCCTTGAGTTATTACTAGTTTTGAGTAAGGTATAATTAGGTTTAGATTATTACACATGTTAGATCATTTTGAATCTGGTAGCATTTTGGATCACATTGATATGGTTTTTTAGTAATTTTAAATTTACATACATAATAATTTATAAAAACACAATTAAATTATCTTAACATGCAAGTTTAGGAATGGAATGGTTCAAAGTAAATGAAGGAATCACCATCAAATCCGTTTTGTCCAAGTGTGATTGACTCTGTATTTGAATCTATCATTTTAAAAAAATTCTAAACTTAATTTAGTTTTATTAAAAACAATAAATTTCATTTTACGAAATAAAATAAAGGTTTGGGAATATAATTACACACGAAGAAAGTATTAGCATCCACAATGCCCGTTCAAAAAATGATATCTATTAATCATGTTTTATCCGAATCTAACCTTAATTAATACTTCTTTATTTCATATTGATTTATATTTTTCTTAATTTTTTTTTATTTTTTGCTTTTATCCTGTTATCTTTCTTTTACCTATTATTAAATATCGAAAACATTTCCTAAATCTTCTCAACAACTTGGTAGGGCTTAGAAAATTTTTTTCTCACGTCAAGATTCAAGAGAACATGCTTATTTTCTTAAAAAGATTCCGTCATCCGATTCATTCAACATTTTATGAGAAGGAGTCTTGATTTTAAGCTTTATGGTGACCCTTTCTGACGACGAATCAGGCCTCTTCTAGCTAGGTCTAATCAAATAATGATTGGATTCCACTGATGGACAATGGATCGAAGGAGAAAGAACAAAAGAGGAAGGAAAGAATAACAAAGAATCAAAGAAAGAAATAATAATCAAAATTAGGATTTTTTTTTTAACTTTTACAATATTAAAATAAAAAATATTGAAATTTTTTAACTGCCATGTGCTTATCAGACACTGAATGTGACATGGAATTTTTTTAAGCTAAATGGTGAGTTCTTGTCTGTCATTGACGTGTATATAATAAAATTATTATTTTTAAAAAAAAATTAATTTGATAGAGTGTAATATTTAGGCTTAGAAACTTTTTAAAGTTGCCTAGGATTAAAACATTTTATCTATTTTGCTTAAAATGCTTGGTGTGATATTTTTTTCACATGTAATTTGGCAACCCCTCACCATCGTCAACCACCCTAACTGTCTCCATTTAGAGATGTTTAATCTAAATTGGATCTAAGTTAGGCAAATTTTGACACCACTTTATCATAAGATTATTACTACCTTGTCAAAAGGTTAACATAAGAAACTGTATAACGTCAAAGCTTTCCTTTTAATTACATGATGTGAAATTAAAATATTTTATTTATTTTTTCTTTTAAAATAGTTAATTTGACAATCACATTTAATTAATTATTTAGATATTAAAGTATGTTGATATATAAAATAAAAAAATTATAACTTTTTTCAGTGCTTTAGTATAAGTATCACATTAATTTTTTTTATTCTAATTTCCAATATGAAATTATCCTTTTTTTAAATATTAAAAAAGATTGTCTCTGCCTTATTCTTCTGTTTTCCTTGATTCGAGCAGAATGTTTTTGGTTCTTCTAGTCAACATTTCTAAAGCCAATCGGCCAAGATAGCAAAACCAGTTTGAAAGTGTTGTCGTATTGTTTTCATCTTACATGGCAGGTAAAATTCCCCTCAAAGAATATTTTCAGGAATCTCCATGAAAACGACGAAAAAAAAAATAAAGGAAAAGCAAAAAGCTTAAGCAAGAACAAAGAGGGTCTGAAAACTCTGAAATCTAGAAAATGTCAAGAATATCGAGAATGGAACGGTTGCAGACAGGGCATGAACCCCGATTGACCCACACTTCCCTGGAACAAACCCTGCAAAATGCGTGCCCACATGGAATGAACGCCGCTCCTTTTTTCCTCTCCATGCACACGCAGCACATCCAATCGCAGCTTCCTCCTCCTCCTAGTCCTCCCACTCCTACACCTTCAACATTAACGACATTGTCTCTCCTTTTCTTCTTCCAATCAACGCCGTCCGTTTCTTCAATCAATCTCATCAATGTCTTGACCTCCGTGGGGCTGGGTCCCACGTTTGTTGTCCGCAAATTACGCTCCGCTGCTAGCGCCATTGCCAAGTTCATTCCTGAACCTGATGTGGGCACTTGCTGCTGTTGCTGCTGGCCCACCAAAAGCGGGGTGCTGGCACTGTTCTCTGTTTCATTCTGAATACGATTATTTACGACATTGCCACTCCTACTGATAATCACTTGCTGGCTTTCAGCTGCTTCTTCTTCTTCTTCATCTTCTTCTAGGATTGATATGGTTGAAATTCTGGCTCTGGGACTCCAGGTGGCTCCGCAGCATCCCATAGCCTTCAATCCTAGCCTTTGTTTCAGATTCTTCCACCTTGCTCTCCTGTCTATGACTATGCTCTCCATTTTTTGCCCTGCTTGAACAACGTCCTCTCTTCTTGTTTTTCCTTTTCCTTGCTTTTTCTTTCTATATGTAAATAATCGATTAGATGCAAAGTTCAAATCAGTCGCTGTTTGAATTACTAATCAAAGAAAACCGAAATGTAAAAGGAAATATGAAAAGAACAGAGAAAGACTCATAGATGAATAAATGCAATGCAGAAATTGAATGGAACGTTGCATTATGCATGAAAGATCCAACACTCTTCCTCCACGTATCTAGCATGATGCAGAGATAATAAATGTAACTTGAAGAGTAAATAAGAAATAAAATATGGAGAAAGTTACAATCAAATACCGAGGAAATTTAATGGATTGAGCTACGACATGTTTCTTTACTTGAAATTAGCTTGGCAGCGAAAAGAATTAAGAAGTGAGAAACTGGAAGGAAGATAATTGTAAAGAACCAAAACCTGAAACTAAGTTAGTGGAAAACAAGTGAATATAAAAGAGACGTGGTGGTATGGAGAAACCGCGTCAGAATGGAGAAATTCTGAGTTCATGATCAGTTTGCCGGATGGTCATTCCAAATTGTGGGTCCGGACGCTTTTCAGACAAATATTGCACCCTTTGGTATACCTTTCTCTCTTTTCAATTAATCCACTCTTAAATTATTGCTACGGTTAAGCCGTTTACATTTTGTTGGGACAATTATGGGTTCTTTGGTCAATAGAGCTTAGCAATCATGGATAAGTATACACACATGTATATATATATATACACGAGGGAGGAATTTCAAAATTTTAATGTTTAATTGTTATCTTGTTGCCATTGCTCTTAAAGAATTGGAAGACAACAACCGCAGGTGCATTCAATTAGCCACTGTTAGCTTTACAATGGATGCATCTTAGAAGGAAGAAAGGCAGGGGAAATACTTTTATCAAAAAGAAAAGGAAGACATGCAAAGAACTAACTTTAAAATAGTCTTTGAGAAAGAGATCAGAGGACATATGATTCTTATTTTTTGCTTCACAAAGTCAAAAGCCATGAAATGCGGCTATCATGAGTTCGGTACGCAACAGCTGTTAATAAATTCATGGCAAAACGAGGGCTCCCTCTCCCCGATAATTAGTCCAAGTTATAGGAGTAGCATCACATTGATTTTTCCTTTTTCTAAAATTATGGCGGTTGAGAAAAGAATAAATGATTAGCAGCAACATGCAGTGATCATGAGTCCTTTCGACTTTGGATCTTCCAGGGCCCATACCAAGTGGCTTCACTGGACCCATATTATTTTCACCATGCGTAATTGCATATAATAAAGTTCGATTTCAGACTATAAATTCTTTGGATGAAGGCTCAGAAGAGATTAACTTCCCCCCTTCCCTCCACATTTGGATCAAAGAAAATAAAGAATACACTACCAACCAACCTCCCTCTAGCTATTATTCTGGAGGCATATCACTATCACTATAGCCGCCTGCAAACCTTTTTTTTTCTCTGCTATCATCACGTAACGTGAGAAACCCCCTAAAATGAATGTGTTCTACTTGATGGAATGTTCAATGGAATAGGAATAGAAATAAATAAATAAATATTGAACAAGAATGCTCACAATATGAGTATTCTCAAAACTGGTTCAGCATAAATATATCTCTGCAACGCGATCGTCCGAAGCTGCCATCATTAAGTGATCAACTGCAGGCAACGGGACACAGCAGTGGTTTAGATACTTTCTTTGCACTTACAAGCATAAAGCATTGCTCTCAAAAAATTAAAAAAAAAAAGAAACCAAGAAGCATAAAGAATTGAAGATAATCCGTCTAGATAACCCATGATGCTATACAGGAAATAAATACTATGGATGATTCATGGTTTTAGGACATTAAGGGCAAAAAAAGGTCATACACCATTCACATAAGAAAAAGATGTTGGATTTGCCTATTATCTTCTTTGCTGTCAAGTTGTCCACTTAAACATAGTTTGGAAGAAAAGTAACCTTCAAATTATCCAAATCAGGTGTCCTTGTTAAAACAAGAATGATGGCAATAAAACTCACCTCGTTACATATCAAAAACATCTCTGCTGGAAAATGTATCTACAATTTTGTTGAGTCAAGTTCTCATTGTCAATCCCATAGAAAAAAGCAGGCATGTTCCATAAGCAACCTATACATGAAAAACCAATTCAACACCATGCTAGGGAAGTGTTGTGGGAAACTAAGATCTGCAAGACAGGAATTAAGTTATTTCACATTCATTAACTCAAAAAAACATTCCATAATATAGATCATAACTTAAAGTCATTACACACGTATATTGTGCACAAAATATACACAAAGTTTTAAATCCCAAATAAATGATTTTTAACTATCATCTCAAAAGTGCATCAAGAAATGTAATAAGGACAAGTAAATCTTACAATATACTCCAAATTCTGTTTAAGCCTTCATATATTTACCAAAGGTCCCCCACATTGTAAAAACTGACAAATAGAAATGTTAGGATTAGGAACATATAGAAAATTACAAAAGGAACTTGCAGAATATAAGGCTCAAGTCCATTGACTGCTGAACATATATGAACCATGTTGGAAGGAATTGTTATAAGATAAAAAAACATAGACTCCAATTAACATGCAAAAGAATTCAGTGAAACCAAGCAGATAACAGGACCTCCAATGCTTGACTATAAATATTTAATATTGTGCCTTGATTGATAATATGGACAAGAGAAACATGAACTAATTGCACATAGAAATAAAATGGAATTTACCTACATTTTATATGAACTTTGAACTATGCCCATGCCAAAAGAATCCTGAAACTGTATTTAAAAAGGGCAACAAAAGAATCTGATTATAATTCCTTATTCCATGACATGAGAGCTACATCTTAACTCCTAATGGATTCAAGAAACTTAATAAAATCGATTAGTACTTAGTCTGATATGCTGCATCCTACCCTACGTTCTATTTGTTATAACCCTCTTGCAGCATCAAATGACGGTAGCTACGACCACGTATAACTCGCTGCCAAAGATACTGAAGCAAGTTCCGGTAACTCAATTGCATCCGCTCCTGGACAAGCCTGTGATCCAACATCAGAACATGTGAGCATATGACCCTCATGTGCATGTAACAATCCCATTCCCTTTTGTGGAAGTTTCTCTCACTTACCATCTTACAAGACACCTCTGAATACCTTTAGAGATGGGACGAATGAAAGAAGGATCCCTTTGAGCATAGAGCAAGCCAACCTAGAAAGGGAGATTTAGCAGAGAATGAATTTAATTTCCCATGCATACAAAAATATGGGTCCTAACGCCACACAAGATCAGTTTTGGAAGATAATTACAGCGTGCTGTCTGTTTACAATATCAAGTTTTCAATATATGTATTCAGCAGGATTTTAAAGCAATAAGGAACTGAATTCCACTGCAAGTTTTGGTCATTGGAGAAAGTTGGATGTGGAAAAAAGATTTAACACTATCCTTGAATTTCAAATTGAAGGCCAGGGAGAATTGTAAAAGCAACAAAACTGTGAGAGCAAAAAGAAGAAATACCTCCACTAATGCAACAGCAGCAGGATCATCCAAGATCTCTAGACTACAGTCAGCTAGGTAATTAATCTGCACACGGATAAGGGGGAAAAACAAAATTATTTGAAGCATCAACAATTTTCAAAGAATGACAGTTGTATAGCAAATTGAGGACCTAAAATAAGAAATTTATTCAGATTCTGGTGATGCATTTAAACAAGACTATGCATACGGATGAATTGATACAAATCTGTGACAACTTGCAAGTGGCAGTCTAACAGGAAGACATTCTAAGCTTCCACTGCCTGATGCTTTAGGTAAATCAGAATTGCTAGCAATGAACAGGAGAAATCTGGTTATGAAGTTGAAGCCAGCCTTTATGAGGCAAATATAAGAATCATGACCAAAAATCAAAAAGTGAAAAATAAAGTTCAGAGCATCAATAAAGAAATGGAAGCATAATCCCGAAAAGGAAATTTACTACAAAATTTGGAGAAAAAAAACAGATTATTGTAGGTATTTCCATATTTACAGCTAGTATAATTCCAACAAAATTAAGCACAAAAGAACAAATATTTCAAAGCAGTGCGAGTGCTGACTTGACACACTTACACCAAATTCTGTGTTAACCAGAGATTGAACAAAATCCATTAGTTGAATCTTTGCCCATTCCAAGCATGTAGTAGGGTCCTTGGATGATGGAGGATGTCTCCAAGGAGAACCAAAACGAAATCTATCATCTAAAATCTTTCCACTTCGTGCATCATCGACAAACTTTTGCAGGAGCATCAATGCTTTTTCCATTGAAGGATTCACCACAGTAATCTAAAAATGATTATTGCAGAGAATGTAAGATAGCAATGGTGCACAAACGAAAGAAAACCCAAGTCATCACTTAAAAGAAAATGTTAACATCACAATATCAAAATACCATACCCCCAAATAATGAACAGTACCATAAGTCTTCTAATTAAAATTCTGAATGTTATTAACTTCTAATATTTTTGTAAGATTTTTCAAGAACTAAGTTCATTTATAACGCATCAATGCTTTATCCATTGAAGAATTCACCAAATTAACCTAGAAATGATTGTTGCCAAGAATCTAAGACAGCAACAGAGCCTTGAGCTGAAACCAGGCTGTACAGCCAACCTTTGTTGTCATTGGTTTTTTCTTTTATTTTCATGAGGAGGTGTGGGGCTAAGCAAAAAGGGAACAGAGGGGCTGATCATTCTATACATATTGGGGAGCTAAAGAAAGAGGCCTAGATCCCACAGATTTTCTCTCAAGCCAAGCGGAACCCATAGGCTAAGCCAAGCCCCACAAGTACACTAATGGGGACTTGAACCCAGAGTACTAACTACAAAGACACCATCTTCAGTGATGGCAAAAGACCTTTCCTTTATTATTACGATGTGTGTGAATATCTTTACATAACTGCATATTAAAATCTTGAAAAACTAATTCAACAAAATCACCCATAAAAAGAATAGTCAACAAGCCAGGTTAGAATAGCTTATGGTATGCCAGCTGTTTATCCATGAATAAAGTGAAAAATGAAGTGCAGTTACCAACAAATATCTACTAGGAAAAAACAGCAAATTAAAAAATCATGTAAAAACTATAAAGTCATTGCTCTTTTAGACCATTCCTCTTGTATAATTATCTAGGTTTGAAATGCCAGTATACTAATCAATCCTGACAAATTCACTTGTAAAAATGATGGCATATGTGCTTAAAAGGATCAAGGAAATAACATGAAAAGTGCCTTCATTTCATGAAAGTTTACCTGCAAATATGCTAAATATGCATCCACTATGTCTTCAAATGTACTTGCCTCATTGTCCATCAACCTATCGTTGAAGAAAACAAATTTTAACAAAATGCTATAGTGCATAGAACAGTTGTATTCAACATGACAGGGCCACATTTTAATGCTAACACTTAAAAATCTTACTAAATTCAATTTTTATTCATCCTTGCAATGAGAGCATTAGAATCTTACAAAAACAAAAAGCAGCTCAGGAAGTAACTGAGATAAAATGAGACTCAACAACCTCAAACACACAGGATAACCATAACCACACACTTTTACCATTCATCTTTATCTGGAAAAAACAAATTTCAACATCTAGTTTTTGAAGCCATTATAGTGTCCAATATGAGATTTGAGATAATAATACAACAAACTGAACATGAAACATTTCTTACTTCTGGTAATAATTGCTTTGTTTGAGCACATAAAGCTCAAAAAGATGTCGAGGGTTTGGCCCAAGCACATCATCAATCACCATCCACTGCATTCCAAATCAAGGTAAGCTTAAAAGTTGCCTAGAATGTCAGTAATTCAAGATGCAGATAGATGGTTTGGAAGGAAAAAGATGTCTTCTAAAGACTATTGAGAACTAAACATAAAATTTGATGGGGCTTTGAGCTTTAAGTTTCCTCCTTTCCTGATTATGGTGATGTTTCATCATGTTTCTCTATCAACAAATCAATGCTCACCTCTGCATGAGTGAAGTAATCAGTAACCATGTGCATTTTAGCTTCTTGGGGAGTCCAACCAAAGGTCTGCAAATCAAACAAATTGAAGTAATTAACATGCACCAGCACCATCCAGTTATATACATACTAAAGTGCATGATCAAAGTTGTTCTGAAAATATTTGAAACATGAAGGTAAAAACACACTACTTAAAAGCCAATGAAATGAAACACATAGATGCATTATGCATATATACATGTTCATTCATTGATGTACACAGAAATGCTATATGGATGTGTATCTCCATGTGTTTGTGTGTGTGCACACATGTTGGTGCGACATGAGTATCATATGTAATTTTCTGAATACCTCACGAGAGATGAATATATCTGGAAACCCAAAATCCATGAAAGCTTGATATGAATAGTAGCTGAGAAAAAATAGTGTATTTGTTACTTGCGAGAAGTAAAAAAGATAGAAATAGAGTAAAAGGTTACTAAAGTTCAAAGGTACTTAAAAAAATATGCAAAGCTAAGCATTGTAAAGGTTCCAAAAAATAAGAAGAGTAGGAAGAAAGCCTAATAATTCCCTTAACTGAAATATGTCATAATAACGTAAATATTGTCCATCAAACAACAGTATGCAAGAATGTATCACAGCTGTCAATCTGGCATGGATACAAGCATTATAAAGCTGTAATTCTGAATATTGTAACACATTTTTGGTGTTTTGGCACTACTTCCCTGAACTATTGAGCTAAACAACAAAAAGGCACTTGAAACTAAATATTGCTCAAAATTATTGCTGTTAGACAATGTGCATCCTGAACTTAGCCCTTCTGCGTTTTGAAAGGAGCAAGATTTCAGCTAATTGAGGAAGAAAATTGAAAAGTTTAAACTTAAAACTTACATAAAATAGAATTATATAGCATAGAGTAAACAATTATAAACAGAAAACATGGCTAAATAGTAATAGTCCCAACCTATCTGATGTCACGAGTACAACAGGCAGACATCGCTCATTTTGCTCCTAAAGCAAGTATTCTCCAAATCAAACTGTCATGATACATTGATCCACACACTGTCAAGTCATCCGTTAATATTGCATTCCGAAAGATTTCAATATTATTTATGACCAACTTAGGCTGCCAAAAGTAAACGAAACAATGATTAATTGACAAACCACTTAAATGCAATAAAGAGGTTCCTTCAAAATTTTCTAGTTAACAAACTACCTGAAAATGGTCAATCTCAGCAGCTTGAGAGAGCAAGTCAAGCAACAAACAAGGCCAATCAGTACATGAATTTGCTAGCGACCTTGAAAACGTCCACTCCTATTCAAATCAGCAATGGCATTGAGCTCTCCACCCTTGCTGCACCTAATCACCTCCTTAGCCAATCTCAATGCGACAATCGCTTCCCTAAAAAAGAGCCTCTTCAATAAGACAAACTCTTTCCTTTCTCTTGCAACCCAAACCCCGTCAATTCTCTCGGCATTTGATCGAGCAGATAATGCAAAAACCGCTCGTACCATAAACCCGAGCCGCGAAACCTTATCAGAAACCGCAGCTTTGGAAGCGTTTCGGCTTAATATTCGGCGAAGGGCAGTGTTAAGGCCTGCCATTTGTTGAGAGTGGTGAAGATTTGGTTAGAGCTAATGGTTCCAAGCTTGATGCTTATGAGCCATTGATTCGAGGCAGGTTTCCAGTTGGGTTCGGCAGTTAGATAAAAAGGGTAGGTCACAGGTGGACCAAGAGGTCCAAGGAAAGAACCATCGAAATTGGGATGGTGGTCTTTGATTGATTGAGCGAAGTCTACGTAGCCGGTTAAATGGGGGCCTTTGTTCCATTCACCAAGAGACTCTGGAAACAAAATGGAAAAGCGAATGTCTTTTACTTCACATAGAAAAAAAAAAGAAAAGCATGGTACAAAGAATGTAAGTGAATTTGTGGGGAGGTTACGGTCGAGGATGAGAGTGGTTTGCCGACGCCACGGGGGCCGTGGAGAATGAGGAGTTGAGGGACACGGTGGTGTTGGGCGTGGTTGTTGAGGATTGTTTCTAGCAAAGGTCTTGGAATGATCTTCCATGCTTTGTTCACCATTTGATTTTGCTTTCCTTCTCTTGCCGCCCAGGAGCCGCCCATCCCGACCAGTGTCGCCCTGCTCGGTCCAACGCCTCACCCGCGACGCACGACTAAACGAGTCCCACCTCCCTGAATCCTCACCTTCCAACTCTTCCATCCGCCTAAACTTTCCGCCTTCTTCTCCCATTTAGCTCCATTAACTCCATCAATCCCCCCTTTTCAATGGCAAACAGTTTAAGCCTTCCTTTCTTACTTCCACATGATGGGGCTTATCCTGTTTCCCATCTTCTTACTAACTTCTCCTTTTGGGCCAATCGCCATCATTTGCGCATGCCAAATAGCTGAGATGTAATGCACATCTATTAATCTTCACCATATGACACTTCATTTAATTGTAATTGCACACTAGTCCTCAACTTCTTCCTTATTACCATTTTCCCACAAACTTTTCATCGTCTGCAACATTTGGTCCTTTCAATACATTTCTTTATAAATTCCAAATCTTCCCGCTTCTATCTTTCTCTTACATGTGTTGAAATAAAATACTTCCTCGACGCATGGGATGCTGCCAATTTCTGCGTTCTAGAAACTCTGCATGCCCTGGGCTGAGTTGCTGAGATCGTCGGGGTTTTAGGTATGTGACGCTCATAACAAATTTCTAGGGGTTTAGCCATTTTGGGCCATCTAACGTGTAACGAACGGGCAGATGGGTTAGACACTGGAGTCGGGAAAACAAAGCCTGGTTTGGCGATAGCACGCACTCTCTCATTCCACTTCTCCTATGAATACAAGTTTAACCTCTAGTCATTTATCCTAAAAATGAGAGTATATACCATATTTCAGCCTTGGGTTTTTTTTACTATATTAAGTAATAATTTAGTTAAGAAGATTATAACTCTATCAAATTATTCTTGAATATTTGGATTTAAATTGAGACAAGACTCTTCCAAAAAAAAATAATACAAAGACTTGGTTTAAAACTTTAATTGATATATAAAAGAGTTGAAATTATTAAACTGCTATTTTCTATACAATTATTGCAAGACTTATATCATTATCAAGTTATAATATAAATTTTGTACTAAAAAAGAGCATGTTGTTAGCTCGAATAAAAATGAAAAAAGTGATTTTTATTTTATTACTAATTTTGAAAATAGATAGCAAAAGGAAAAAAAATTGAAAATAAAAATAATAAGCAGACATAGCCAATCAAATAATCGGTAGGTAAGCCCAATCTTTGTTCGCACATCCTGGGCCTGAAACTACTTACAACGCCCAATGAGTTGGGCCAGTTAAAAGGATCCGTTGCTATTTCTCTACCGTCGGCTCCGTATATTAATTCAGAGTCAGGAAGCCCGTTTTAGCGCTCCGTCTTTGTTGCCGCTTCTAGATTCCATTTTCTCTATTAGAAGACAAAATTAATATTTTCTCTTCAAAGTAATCCCAACCGCCTATACTTAAGACTTGAACCGTCATAGTCTCGACCTTATTCTCCTTAAATGTATAAAAAAGAGTAGTATAAATTTCGCCACTATAACTTTTAAGTAAATTATATATTTATGCTAATGTACAAAGTAATTGTCTAAGTTATTAGGCCAATTAATTGTTTTCAAAAAATTTAAGTTGAGTTTGTATTTTCCTCTAAATTAGATATCATTTATTCATAACTTTCTCTTTCTCCTAAGTAACCCTTCCCATTTATGTATTAATTATTTTGGTAGATCATTTATTTATTTATTTATGATTTCTCTCTCTCTCTCTCTCTCCCTCATTTTTTCAAAAAAAAAAAATCTATTGTGATAGCTTAACTGTTAAACTTTATCCTTACTGCTGGTCCTTAAGTTTCAATTCTAAATTTTGAACATAAAAATTATGGAATTGGGTTCTTCTTCATTTCTTTTTAATTCATTATTTTTAAAGTTAAAAATCTGTTTACAGTGGTGAAGTGAAGCTGGACCTACAAATTTTATTGGGTGCAAATAGGTGTAACCGACAAAAATGAAGTGAAATTCATTTTTCCAGTTAATGAATACGTATTTAATACTTATTGAAATCTGGAATCCCCCTCCTCTAAAACACATAATTAAATAAATAAGTTGAAATATAGTACTAATTAAATTGGTCTTATTGAGCATGTTGGGTCGCAGAAACTTCCAACAAATGGACCTCATTTGTCAGTAATAGCTCACCCATGTTGGATTCGGGCCCTCTGCAATTGTACAGTTCCCACTCTTGATTCCTACGCCACATTCATTTGCTAAAATGTCACCAAAACATTTTAAATCTGCGAAATCCATGCATCGATGCTTCATGCCCCACGAATTCATTCCCTCTCCGTTTTAGTCTTATATGATTGGTAAGAAAGAAAATTGGGAAACGAATAAAAAAGAATAAACAAAAATAAATGATAAAAAGTTAATTAATACATATTTTCTTTTTTTATTAAGACTATTAACTTATACATTATCAAGTGAAGTTTAAAAATTTTTACGAGCAATAAAGTAATATTTAATTAAAATTTTGTAGGCTTTTTCTATCACTTTAGTTGTAAGACAACTAATCAAGATCCAACTTGTCATTGTTGTTTTGTCATATTAGTAGATATGAGTTTACAATTTTTTCTAATTAACATGATAGATTATTATTATTATTATTATTATAAACACATGAACATGTACCTATAACATGATAAATTTCAATATCGTGTTATGTCACATCATGATTGATTGAATTTATATTAATGTTCTAATAATATTTATATAATAATTGTTTTGAAAAAAATGAGGATTGAAAATGAAAGAAAAAAGAGCATCTCATTTCAAACAATTTATTACTATTATGTAAATAATATTTATAATTGTATGTAGTAGCATCGTCAAATTGAGAAGTTGTTACAACTGTTAAATGAGATAATATTTAATCTTTCACAGTGGGTCATTAAAAAGAAAAATCATTGAATACAAGCGGTTTTTTTAAGCATAATGAAATTAATTTTTATTTAATAAAATGTTTATATTTATACATAATTGTTATTTAAGAATGAATATTTACATACAAAAGTAGTGACAATGGATACCAGTTGGGTAAATTAGAGGGGAAGAAGTAGCTAGCTGTTGCCTGGTTGGGTGAAAAGAAAAGGCCACGGCTTGGGCCATAATCAGCCTTCAGACAACTGCCGAGCAAGACAACTACTGGGATAAGCGTGGCCTAGAAAAATGCATCAGTGGGAAGTTCAAGAATGACACACCAGTGCCCATTTAAAAAAAAAATAAGAAAATTGTTATTTAGTTGTTGTTTTATTTGGTTTTTTTTCTATAATTTCTGAGATATAAAGTATGATAATTTGACAATAATATTTGAAATTTTGATCTTTGCAGCAAAGGGGCTTATATTTTCTAAAGACCAAGTTTATTAAATTTATGCTTATCCCACGATCAGATAACAATAGCCTTCTGTGTAGATGAATTATTGAATTTGTATTATATCGGTACTAACAACCTAGTGTGTTAGACCTTGACATCAAAAATTTTTTTAGGTGAAATATCTATTTTAAAAATTAATAAAATTTCATATAATTTTGATTAAAATTTAAAAAATAAAGTATTTTACTCTATTTTAAATTATCTGATCCAACTGGCTTATACTTATTATAAAGTTCTTATCCTAAAAAAAAGGATTTTATTTCTTAAATCTTTGGATTAGAAATGGAAAGAAAATCCCCAATGCTTAAGCACGTCCTGCCTGCCAAATTTGAGGCCCACAGTATTCATACTCAACTTCTAATCACCCATCACGGATTACGATTCAAGTTTCTCTGATGAATGCACCGCTTAAATTCTGATAATGTTTTTGTTACAGAAAAAGAAAGCAATCAAATGTACTTAATGCCTGGGAATATTAAGATTGGAAACCTTTGATACTATTAAAAATCAAATTTTGTTCAACAGTCAACCCTCTCGTTTTTGTCAAGAAAGTCAACTTTGTATAAAACCTACTTTGAGTAGATCCAAATTTTGTAATGCATAAAATGTTTTCCTAATGTGACGTGGCAGAGAGTCTTTGAAGAAGATTCCCGTCAACGTGCTGTAGCGGACTTAAGCCCAAGCCGGGAACCCAACCAGCCAGCTCGTGACTTCCTCAAGACACAGTTCCTCGCCTCCAACGCTTCTCACACCGAGAAACTCCTTTCCTTTCCAACTCTCTCTCTCCTTCTCTCCATTTCCTTCTCTTTCCTTCCCCCCAAGCAAACCCTGTCTCTTTCATGTTTTTTGCCATTTCACCTTAACCCTAACGTTTCCGGTTCCTAATCCGGCTTCAACCTCAAATGCATCCATCTGAACAACCGCAACGCCCACCACCTCCACCACCGTCAGAACAATCAGTATCTCAACCACCGCAAACACTTCTCGACTTAATCACGAGCGTACTCTTCCTTCTCCTTTCTTCCCTCACCGTCCGATCTTTCGCGTCGGCGGTGGCAAGTCCTCCGATCAAAGCTCTGTTCCTCCAATCCTCTCTCTCCTCAATCTCCGAATCTCCTCACTGGAGCGAGAACTCTTTGCTTCACACTCTTTTCCCTTCGCTTCTCTCCACTCTCCAACGTTTAAAAGTCTCTCTCGATCAATGTACTCTCTCTTACTTTACTGGGGGAAACTCCTCATGCAAAGCGACCTCGACATGGCTTCCTCGTCTTCTCCAACCATCTCCAGACCTAGATTTGCTTCTCTCAGATCCGGCGTTCTTCACCAAATACACGCCATCGTTTTGTCTCACCCGGGACCTGACTCTGATAAGATGATTTAGGATTTTTCATCAGGGATCTCTTTACGCGACTTCAGATTGGTGGTATCGAGTTCAAAAAGAAGCTCTAGAATCACTTCTCCAGCTTCTAAACACAAACGGAAGTCTACTACTTTGGTTGCTAAAGAAGGAAACGTTGGCTATTTGATTGGTCTTCTCGACGTGAACAGCCAACCTTTAATTCGAGAACAAGCCGTTTTAGCAGTGTCGGTGCTGGCTTCTTCGAGCGTAGATTCGAGAAAGATCGTCTTCGAAGAAGGAGGATTAGGGCCTTTGTTAAGAATCCTCGAAACAGGTTCCATTCCATTAAAAGAAAAAGCCGCGATTGCTGTTGAAGCAATCACCGCCGATCCCGAAAACGCCTGGGCAATTTCAGCATATGGCGGCATCACGGTTTTAATCGAAGCCTGCCGATCTGGTTCTCAACCAACTCAAACCCACGCGGTTGGCGCTCTTCGAAACGTGGCTTCCGTGGAAGATATGAAAATGGCTTTGGGTGAGAAGGTGCGATTCCTGTTTTAGTTCACTTATTAGTCTCCGGTACCACCGCTGCACAAGAAAAAGCAGCCAATTGCATTTCAATTCTCGCTTCTTCGGGCGAATATTTTCGCGCTTTGATTATACAGGAAAAGGATTGCCGAGATTAATGCACTTGATTCAAGAGTTATCAAGTTCAGATACGATCGAGCAGTTCTCCGTACAATCAGTTTACTCCTCTGGTTGCAGATCCGTTTTCACGGATTTTATCATGTTCAACGGCCTTTATTATCCAATTGGGTGAATTTATTAAGCACGGGAACATGATTTTACAACAGATTTCAGCTTCTTTGTTATCAAATTTGTCAATTACTGATGGAAACAAGCGAGCCATTTCTACTTGTATGGCTTCTTTGGTAAAATTAATGGAATCACCAAAGCCAGTGGGGTTACAAGACGCGGCGGCGCAAGCGATTGTTTCGTTGTTGACTGTGCGAACAAATAGGAAGGAGCTGGTTAGGGATGAGAAGAGGTGTATGAGATTGTGCAGATGTTGGATCCGAAGAATGAGGCTGTATCTAAGAAGTTTCCATTGATGGTGGTGACGACAGTTTTAAGCGGAGGAGCGGTGGTTGTAGGAAGAGACTGGTGGCTGCCGGAGCTAATAAGCATTTGCAGAGTCTGGCGGAAATGGAAGTAACTGGAGCTAAGAAGGCGCTTCAAAGACTCGCTGGGAGTAGACTCAAGAGCATTTCAGCAGGACTTGGAGGGAATAATCAGAAAAGATACTAACCCCCGCCAACTAAGGTACGTTCTTTGATGAGGATATAATTGGAAATTTGGGATTTTTGTTAGGGTTTTGTTTAAAGAAATTTCTCGTTGGCGCATGGAGTAAATGTTCTCTATTTTAGCGCCATTCAGTAGCATTAAAAGTACGATGTTGCCCCTTCTTTTTTGTCCTTTGGATTTATAATTTCTGGTTACTAAGCTTGCCACGTCCGCATTCGAGATGTGCTTAAGTGCACTAAAACGTGGAGGATTTCGATTATCCGAGTGTGATGATGTCGCTTTCACGCCGGGAAAATGATGGCCAAAACATCGAAGCCTTATATGGTTATGGGTCCATTGTCACACTAATCAATTCCATGGGCCCTTTTTTTTTTAAGCTTATTATTTGTAATGCTGACGTGGTAGTCTTTAAAGATACCCCGTGTCCTGTACCAGATACGTCGTCGTTTTAACCGTGTAGGGACTAAATTAACGGAGCAGATTATGTAGATACGTGTCTAGCACGTGAAAGTTTGGTCCGTGATATTTGTAATTATTTCATTTTCCATGTTCGCAGGTGGAGTCCGTTTGGAATTTTCTAACTGTCAGAAGAATGAGAAAGTGCTGAAGTGGAAAAAGCAACAAGCAAGACAACACACTTCGTATACTCCAAACCTTTTTACCTCATATCTTTTAAAATATTAATTATATTTTAATTTTTATATATTTATTACTATTAATATTAATATATGATGACAAAAGGCATGGATGCGGTTTTTAGGGAGTATCCTCGTTTTGCTTTTATATTTCTATTGTTTTTAATTAAAATTGATTCACTCATGAAGCTGATGAGCTGTAAGAGGGAGGTTATGATGATTGTTATGTTTCCTTCCTCTCTCTTTTTTCTTTTTTACTTCTTTCTAATTTTAATCTTCCTTTTGTGGATTTTGTTTTATAATGTAAATTCCGAAAGTCTGTTTTTTATCTGTAATTTCATTCTAGTAGTGGAAAAAAGAGTGCAACCATTTTCTGATCGTCATCTGACTTGCATTAGAATTACGCTTATGGAATGTGCTGATATTTGTCTTTAACTTTATTTGATCCTTATTTTGTTTGATTCGTTTGGTTTTGTCGTGGCTGCTTGGAATGTCAGTTGAATTGAGATGACGATGAATATTGATTTTGAAACGGACGTTACTGTTCTAACTCGGGGGTGCAATAATGATGATGCTGCAGCCTACAATGCTAGGCAGTTAGCTAAGCCCAAAGCTTCAGGACTTAAATTTTGCTTTTTGGTTTTTGCCCTTTCCGTGTAGGTCATGGGGAAGGAATTAACGGTAATGATTATGGTCGTAGTATTTAGCGATGCTGATTGATAATGGTCATCAGATTTGGCAAATGTGACGTGGGGCCCGGGTGGGCCCTTACCTTCACACTTTGTTTGCAATTCTGAATGCCTAGCTAACGAAAGTAGATATGTTGTTGATGACCACGTATTTAATCAGAAGGACCTGAAAATTTAGAAGTAAAATAAAGTGGATTTTATCGAGGAGTGGGCCTCGAATGATATTGAGAATCTGAAAAGGGCAGGAGGAAGGGAAACAATTGGGAAGAGGAGCCCAGTCGGCAGCAGGCAGGATCAGGAAGCAGGGTGCAGCAGCAAAGGAAAAGAAAAATAGAGGGGGCGGAGGACTGAGGAGTAAGGCTCGGCGCAGATGTAGGGAAGAAGGGGAACTATAAAGAGAGGGGAAAGGCTAGAAATGCGGGTCCCAAGCAGAAGAGTACAGGGACAGCACATGGGAAAGAGAGATATAAAAAACACTAGTACTAGGGAAAGATAGTAAATATTGAGTGGTCCATTTCTTTGATACACAACTTCACATGCTCTTGCTTGCTTCCTTCTTGGGTCTTGTCCTGGTTGGATCGGTCGTTGGTACCAAAATACCCTACGACAATGCATCAGATGCTGCCAAAGAAAAGTTTTTCTTTATTTTTTTGGATGTTGTTGGTTATGGTCATATTTCCTGTGAGGCCCTTTTAAAGCCATTGTGTCAACAAGCTGTAAAGCTTCGCGCTTCTCGCTTCCAGCCCCGTTCTCTCTTGCTTGTATCATTACCTTCACAAATCTTTCCAGCCTTTCTTTCCTCACTTTTTCGCGCCAAAAAATTAGTACTATTTACTGGTACGGGTTTCCAATGCTCTTGGGCCATTTTATTATTATTGTTATTATGTGTTTATGGTTAACAGAACGTAGCCAGGCCCACGCGAACGTTCTAGCAAATAGTAAATAGTATTAGCAGTTATAATTCAAAGAACATCACAGCTGGCTCCTGCCCCGTCAATTTGTTTAGCATCGAGTTTGACAAATTCCATGAGTAAACATGGTTGGTTGATCTGCTGTCCGGTCATTTAGTAGACAATTTTAGTAGTAGTGGTAGCAGTATTTCGAAAGGTCAATTTTTGGGGCAAAATCTAGACCTTGGAGGATGCCTGAAGGCATCGCTTGATGCTAGATAAAGATTTATTCTACCTAGACTTTTGTCGCTTAGACGGCTATGAAATGGTTGACTGGCCGGTGAATTTGGTGGTTGAAGTTGAAGGTTAGGTATTAGTCAATTACTGCATACAAGTTTTGTTCAATAATTACTGCCAAAGCATAAGTTGTGAAAGAGATTCGAAAAAGAAAATGATTTTCCCTCGAAATCAAAGAAAGTGCATCCCATTAACATGTCCATACAAATACAGGGATTTAGACAATAATTAGAAAGTGAGAACGCCAAATAGACACAGAATACTTATGTTTTATTATTACATTTGAAAGTTGAAAGGGTTGAGGCCGTTTCCTACTTCTTAGACTCAAGTTTAAAGAACAAATTAAATCAACTCTACTTTTATTTATAAAGTACTATTGTCTATCATGTTTGCATTTTTTCTTAGTTCATAAATTAAGTTAAATAATAAGAGATCATCCTTGAATTTAATACCTTCAACTTCCTTCAGAAAATATTTTGTTTTAAACTATTTTTAACTGATTTTTCCTTCTTTCATAGTCAATGCATGAAAGGCAAATTAATCCAGCATATTAACGTGGTCATCTTAAAGCTATGCCCTTGGAATTTGGAGTACCTGTTTGAAAACCTTTGTTGATATATCATATCATTTCCATCTAAATTCCAAGTCAACTAATAACAACAACTGTGTGGATGTTTTTCTACCAGAAGTAAGGATTGTTTTGGTCAGCTCTACGTTATCATCTTGTATGTTCGTGGTTTTTGACTGAGATCTTTATGTTTTTGAGCTCAAAGTAAAGCCATCTCCACATTGATTAGCTGGATTTTATCATTTATCAATGCGTAAAGATATCTATCCAGAAAATATCTTTCTCCTTTCACGCCAAGATTTCCAAAAGATCAGTAGCTTTCCTATCTATCAAACAACAATAACCCCTTGAACTTATCCAATAGGTTTCATTTTAGGCAACTGCAAATGTACAATAATTCTCTTCTTAATATGTATATATAATTTTATACTACAATAAATGTACTAGTGGATTTTTTTTAAAAAAAATATGTTACTGTTGTTGAGAGCATGTGCAGAGTCTTTAGATATGCTATTGACAGCCCAGAGATGGTGGTAAAAGAACCACACGAGGGGGCCAAGCATGCTACAACTCCCTAGTGTGAAGTGTGAACCCTAGCTCAAGTTTAATTGGGCTGTTCTGTGTCGTTTGCTTAAAATTCCCTAGGATTATGACACAAAGCAATCCTTATTCCTTTTGGCGTAACAATTCTGTGATAGCTTTAAAAGTTGGTGGAATTTGAAATGGAAAGTGATTTACACTTTATACTTCCAAAATAGACACACTTGAAAGCAGGTTCCAGACTTCAGAGGAATGTTATATTTTGCTTCAGGTCAGGGTCGGGTCCAGGTAGTTTGTGCATTGTTGTCCGATTCCCTGCATATATACATACATACACAAACACAGACGCACACACACACACATATATATATGTTGCAATATAACTAAGAATTAAGCTAAGAGATTATTCTCAGCCGAAAGCTTAGGTAGGGGCGTAGGGCAGAAACAGATGTGTTTCTTTTATACTATACTAATTCCAAAGTCCATTTCACAATGCCGTCCTAGCAGTGAAATTTTGTCAGTATGAACTCTGTAATTGGCTCATCTGCCCATTAAGAAAGCTTAGGTCAGCTTTTTAATTTCGAGACCAGATTGAGCTTGGTAAAATACTAAACTGCATTGTTTCTTCTCTTGATGGACCTTTAAAGTTCAAATTTTAGTATCTTCTTTTCAGATGTTTAAGGGATTTCTTTTACTCTATTTCACTTGCAAATCACTTCTTTAGTTTGTTGAGTTATCAACAAACTGATTAATCTTCTCTGGGCCGATTGAATGTGTCATCCTATGCAGTGCTGCACATTCTCTTATTGATCCTTTTGCTTTTCCAGTTTCCAATTGCACACAAGGCATCAATTTTCCTTCTTTTCAAGTTTAGCTTCTCTGTTAACGGAATGAAATCAATCTATTTCTACTACCAGATAAGAGACATTGCTTCAGATGAGAGGAGAAAACATTTCATTTGAGTATTAAATATTGGATTATCAACTAGTAAGTTTGTTTTACAGAGCTATTTACAACTTGAATATAAGTTTTCATTCAAGAATATATCAAACAATATGCCTTGCTATAATCTTGTTTTGGTTCTGCAACCACAACTCTTGTTGAAGTAACACATTTTTCTGATCTACACACTCATCAGAAGAAATATTGTTGTTAGCTTTCATAGTAGGCCATGGAGCGAAAGGGTCATCTTGCTCATCCTGAAACGCTGCTGTTGTCCTGTCAGGATTCTCGGAAATAGATGTCGGCGTGGCCTGAAATGTTGGTGTGGCAATTTCGTTAGGACTCTGAGCTAAGAAAGTTGGTGTTGCCTGAAATGTTGGTGCCACTGAGAAGTTATCAGGAAAAGCTGCATTTTCATTGGTATTGGTGGCAATGGCTGCCGATATTTCAGTTTCATCATCAAGAAATGGATTGTATTGGCGTTGGGATATTGGTCTTTTATCAAATAGATCATTTGCAATGGAGAGCTCAATCCCGTTGGCTAAATGTTGAGAAGCTTGTGCAGGTTGTGTTGAGGCCTCTACAACATCAAGCTCCCAATCTTCCTGACCACCATTGCTCAAATTAAATGCTGAATTTTGCTGTGGTTTTTCTGGTTCTTTCTTATCTTCCCCAAGCCAGTCACCAAAGCAGGAGTGGTCATTGGCTACAATTTGAGAAGCTTGTTCTAGTTTTTTATCTTCTTGCAACCAGTCATCAAGATACGAATGGCCATTGGCTACATTGTGAGAAGCTTGCTCAAGCTTTTGATTTTCTTGTAGCCAGTCATTGATATATGAATGACCGTTGAGTACATTTTGAGAAGCTTGGTCTTGGTGATGATCTTGTTGAAGCCAGTTGTCAAAGAAAGAGTTATCATTTGATACGTTTTGAGGAGCCTGTACAGGTTGTGCTGGTGCCTCTACTAAACCAAGCTCCCAACAACCCTTTTCACCGTTGATTGAATCCAATATTGTTGAATTAATTTGCCCTTGTTTTTGATCTACCTTTGGCCAGTCATCAAAGGATACAAAATCTATAGTCACATTGGTTCCTTGATCAATTGGTAAGGAATGGTTTGAACCTGTTTCAGTGACATTATACATATCTTCTTGTTCATGACACTGTTTCTCAGAAACCTCCGAAAGACGCTCGACCGAGAAAGATGGGCTTATTGTTCCAGCAGATTCTGTCTGACTCATCAAATCTTCCAAGGATGTGCATCTTGAACCAGCTTGAGAACCTCTCTCTGTAATTCCAGAAGGATCCTTGGCTGGTGGTGCCGGGAGGAAAAGCAAACGAGGCGAATTAGAAGATGGGGATTTCCCAGGTGATGGAAACGAAGCTTGGTCTTTCAAGAATTCTTGTAAAGTTTCCATAAGCTCATCCGATATCATCTGCACACTTGGATATTCCGA